ACTAGCACAGCTTGAAACGAATTTCTAACTGCAGGCCAATATACAGTATTTACTGCTGTATTTATAAGATTGGGGATATACCCATTAACGTCCGTAAGTATGCTAAAACTGTTAGTAACATCTATAAATCTATATCCCAGCATAACAATATTATATTAAGCAGATGCATGTCCAACAATTTGCATAATATATTAAACAGATACATGTCCAACAATTTTCTTTAAAAAATTGTAACTGCGTAAAAGTTATGATCTGTCAATCAAACGGTCAATTTATGAATGATAATAGTGTGTAACGAGCTAATATGCATTCTAGTAAGAATGTCAAATTGTAATTTGGTTCCACTGCAAATATCTTGAAATTTCTTTTCTACATTCATCGAACAAATATAGGAAATGTAAAATATATAAACAGCTGTGCTCTTGTGGGGAAAATTTTGAAAATGGCTTACCTCGGAAACGCGTGCGAATCTGTGCAGCGTGAAAACTCCGGTCCTCCCAACGGTAAAAGGAACCAAAATGGCGGCACCCATATTTTATGCCGGGCGGTCTCGGTTAGTTAACGCGAAATCTCGTTGTCCGTCATTCGCATGCAAATCGTGGTCAGTCCTCGGCTGTATAAAGCAGGCTCGTTTTGCTGTTTGGGATCAGAGAGCTTTCGTCTCGTGAGAAGGTTGGACGTGCGACATCGGTTTCTTTGTTCCTACCTGCTATCATCAGTTGAGTTGTTGCGTTACCTCCCACAGCTCTCAAAATATTTCTGACAACAAATGATGGTAATACCGATATTATTACGTGTGTTATTATAGCTTAACCCAAATCTTACAATACGAAAGGCAATAAATGTAAGTTATGCCTTGTTGAAAAATTAGTTATTTTAAACAATGGGTTGACGATAAAATGTAGACATAAAAGTAAATACCTGCTGTAATACGTTGATCCGGGTTAATTTTTAATGTAAATTATGGCTGTTTTTATGCTTAATATAAAAAAAAAATTATTTTCGCAAGTGTAAAATATTCCCACACACACACACGCACACACACACACACACACACACACACGTATATATATATATATATATATATATAATCTATATTTCTCTCTCTGTCACCCTCTGTCTGTCTATCTGTCTGTATGTCTGTCTTTCTCTCTCCGACATTGCTTGTGCTAGCACAAAGTCACAAATTGTCGTCACAAATTATCGTCACAAATTGTCGTCACAAGGGTTTGAGCGTGCTAGCCTTGTTTAGACTTCTGACCACGCTAAATATCTCGCTCTCTTCCAGAAATTGTAACTAAGGTCAGCTCAGAATAGTTGTAGCTTAAACCACAAGTGGACTCCATGGTTGTTGAAGAAACACAAATGTGCTTGAGCTGGCGTCTGCAATGGGGACTGCTTAACCGCACTAGTAGATACGAGTGGCTGTTCCATTTACATTTTTATTTATCTATCTATCTATTTTTTAGACATTTTTATGTTTATATGTTCTTTTTACAAATATTTAAGTAAATGCTCTGTTTATAATAAACAGTATTAACGACAGTTACCGGCCTGAATGTCCGAGAAATTTTCATAGAAAATATGCATCCTCCGACAGGAATCGAAACTGTATCCTATACGGAACCGTCATATAGCCTGACGTGCTTTTACCGATTTCGAAAAGAAGAGGCGTGTTTCGGTTAACAAGGTCGAATTTAATGTTTTTAAACTACAAGTCTCCATTATTTTCTCTCATAAATTCATATCTGATCAATCTATCTATCTATCTGTTCATATCTACATAACTATCTATTTGCCATAATAAGTAATATTTTAACATATTAGACTGATTCCTGAATAATTTAGCCTCTGTGTAAACATACAAGCTCAACAACCATTTTACAAATATCGCACGATACACAAAATCGATAGCACATCGCTACTTCTGTGTATCTTCTTACCATTCCGTATATCAGTCACGCAACGTGGTAATCTGTTTATCTCACTTAGTGATCAATGTCTGACGTAACGATCGATATTGAGAATGACAGCCAAAGTTTGGATTTGGCATCAATTGAGGAAAAGAAATCCCTTCCCAGCAGCACAGGACCGTGATAATTTTAATTCTATTTTCATTATTTTTATTCTCGTCAAAATACTACGGCAATTTAATATATAACCAACCCAAATAAACGACGCTACATTAAAATATAATAGAAATAGCCGAATATTTGTCCTACGTCAGGAAAAAAAATAAGCATACTACTAGATTGGCTGTTAGGTCTCATTGCTTTACTTCTGAAATAGCAAGATGTAACTGTAATTTCTATTCTAATAGTTTTTTCCTCAAAGTTCCACCTTTGAAACTCTTTTCCAATTTCCAGTTTCCCTGTCACCTACAAACTTTCTTGGTGTCTCAACCACATGAATTTAACCATATTACTAGATTGGTTATTAGGTCTCATTGTTTACTCTTGAAATAGCTAGATGTAACTGTAAGTTCTATTCTAATAGTTTCTTTCGTCACACTTCTCAATTACCATCTTCTGTCTTCCTGAAAGGTGTTTTATTATCTTTTCCCCACTTTTCTTACTCTTCCACCCTCAGTAACCCCATTGTTCCTTATCATCTTTCTTGGAGTGAAATGTCTAATATATATATATATATATATATATATATATATATATATATATATCAGCAGAAGCCCAAGCTCATTTCTAGACACCCTGCCATGTTGAAAGGCCCTGTTTTCAGCCTACGACTAACTTTTATAACCAATTTACTACAGGAGATAAAAAAATTCTACATAGAATTACGCTAGAGGTAGTTTTGCGCAACACTACGAATTGATGCAAAGATAAAATATTACGGGATAATAAAGAACTGTTCTAGATAAGAGAAACCACAATACATGAGGACTTTCAACAGCTGTAACTGCTAAAATGGATATTACATGCCACACAAACTTAAAATAATGATATAATCATGACATTGATATTCCATACTACTTCAAATAAAAGGTTAGAAATGAAACCGCCATCAATATTGGATGAGGACAATAATTCGAATAATGTAAATAATGTACATAATACCTCATCTCAGAAATATAGACAGATACTGAAAGGCCTAAACCTTGTAATAAATATGGCGCAAAGATGAGGACAATAGTCCGAATAATGTAAATAGTATACATATTACCTCATCTCAGAAATATAGACAGATACTGAAGTGCCGAAACGTTGTAATAAATATGGCGACAAAGATGAGGACAATAGTCCGAATAATGTAAATAGTATACATATTACCTCATCTCAGAAATATAGACAGATACTGAAATGCCGAAACGTTGTAATAAATATGGCAACAAAGATGAGGACAATAGTCCGAATAATGTAAATAGTGTACATATTACCTCATCTCAGAAATATAGACAGATACTGGAAATGCCAAAGATGAGGACAATAGTCCGAATAATGTAAATAAATATTACCTCATCTCAGAAATATAGACAGATACTGAAAGGCCGAAACCTTGTAATAAATATGGCGACAATGATGAGGACAATAATCCGAATAACGTAAATAGTGTACATAATACGTCTTCTCAGAAATATAGATACACTAGGAGTAGTTTACTGCAAAGTTAAAGCATTGACATGAAAAAAAAAAGAGTCATGTTCTTAAATATCCTTGTTGGATCAAGACTTTGATTTCATGCATGGTTCTAAACTCATTCATGTATATCTAAACTGATAGTTGAATCCAACCGCATTCTCAGATCAATGATTAAAAATGGCTTTGAAGAAGTGAAGCCTGTGGGTTTTGGTGAAGACCAGCCTTCTTTGAACATTGTGGATTTGTGCTACGGGATAACAAAGAACTTTTCTAGCTAAGAGAAACCACAATCCATAAGGACTTTCAACAGCAGCTGCTGCTAAAATGGATATTACATGCAACAAAAACGTAAAATAATGATGTAATTTATATCTTGGTATTCTCAAAAAATTTAAAGAGGAATCTGTAATCAGTCCTGATTTGGCATTTTGACTTCAGACGATTTACAATTTACTACTAGACTGGCAACTAGGTCTCATTGTTTTACTGCTGAAATAGTTAGATGTAACTGTAAAATTCTAATAGTTTATTTTCTCGCACTTCTCACTTGTTGAACATCTACCGCCAAGAGTTTAACTGGAACCTGTTCTTTTTTTGTCCTAACTCCTCACTAATGTCTTTTCATTCTCTGATTATACCTCCAAATCAATATTCTCTCCCCTATTTACTTGTTAATTGTTTCAGTCTCCCTTGTCACTCTAGCATTTAACATGTCACTGCGTGTGAAATTCTCCAATGTTTTTCCTCATTATGGCGATTTTCTAACCGTAGCTTAGGTGTGGCTCTGGGCCGAAAGTTCAAGGAGCACTTAGTGAGAATCGAACTCACTACCCTGTCGTAATTGCCCCAGCGAGACAAGCTTGCTACCGTTACACCACGCCAAAGTGCCATTTCCCCCCTATAAACTGTATCTGTCTTTTTATTAACCTAAAAACAAGTTTTCATTTCGTTCCTATGCACCTTAAAAATTCCTCGTTGCTAACATATCCTGTCCATGCAATGCTTAACTACATCCCTCTTGCCAAATGTCTTCCTCTTTATCTGTGAGGAAATTGTCCAGCATTCACTTTCATATAGGTCAATGGATATTGATTAACAATTAAAATAACCTTTCGTTGTTTCTAACTAAATCTTTCCCTTTTGTTAAAACGTTGGCCCTTCTTTTGTAGGCATCTTTTTTCAATGTGACTTCGGATTTCGGTGTTGCATATTCCGTAGTGTGTTGCATTTTCCGTGACATGTCATAACTTCCCATAGAATGAAATGTGGATCCCCTTACAGAATTCTAGAAAAAAAAAACTTTAAGTACTGTCAATGAAAACTGATTTTCGTACAAATTCTGATCACACAGAAAATAACTAATTTTTTGTATACTGACCGTCGCAAATAATTTGAAATTTTGCATTCATATATTAACCAAACAGTGACTGATATAAGAGGCACGGTCATTTTTTAATTGGCAGATGGTAAAGATTTGTTAGATACGAAATTTTTGAAGATCACTTCAGAATAGGATCAAAAATATTTCCCCCCTTAAAATGGATGTTTAAACGTTGAGAAAATATTTATTAACCAATAAACTTGAGATTAATAAATCAATTTTTTTGCTTTTTCTGGAGCCGATATTTCGCAATATAAATTATCAATTTTTAATTCGCTAGCAATTCGTTCGGTTAAACTTTGACTAGTGTGTTCGTTCTTTTGTTATACAGCAAACTGAATTTCCCAGACTTAATTAATTACTCACATTTAAACATATTTATTCGAGCATATAATATTACAAAAATGCTTATCGATATTGTCACATAAAAGTACAAAACTAAGTTTTTTGCGTACTTCCATAGTAGCAATCTAGTTTCCCATGTTTTTTCATGTGGCTGACTGCTTTAATTTATACGCATACATAAAACAACGTATATGCGGGTCACATAATTCTCACGTATACACACATTCTATTTCTGCTATACTAAAGCAATTCATTTTGTTGGGCTGTAAAAAAAAAAAAAGATATCCAAAATATTTTGTGTAAAGTGTTTCGCAAAGAACCATTGTAATTCACTTCTAACAATTTTAAAGAAAAATTATATTCAAATAATAAAAAAAATATTCAAATTTGTAGAACCGTGTTGAAGATTCGCTTATTTCTTCGTTTTATACACGCTAAATCAGCCACAGGAATATTTCTACCGGTTTGATGTCTGTAATTCGTAGATCGATCATGTGCAGTCAGTCTTCTTCTTCTTCTTCTTCTTCTTCTTCTTCTTCTTCTTCTTCTTCTGTACAATTTCCTGTTATTCGCAGCAGCTTGTAAATTTTGTCTTTCTGCTTTTTTGCCTGAACTAAGTTCGTTAGGTATGTTGTACACTTCTTTTCTCTTTAACTAATAAAACTAACACTTATCTCTAAAAAAAAGAATGCAAGGATCTGCTAGCTTTGGTTTGTCTTTAGAAAATTAATCTCTTTCAGGGTTTATAAAAGCTATACCTGATATTTCTCCACTGCGAAACTGCAGGTGCATTGGTATGCATCAGTGTCGAATATGTTACAATTTTAGATGTGTTTTTCAAATTTAAAATAGTATTCGCGATGATACTTTGAATTTAAATTGCGCTGCAAAAAAATAAAGGTTCCATTTTTGTTTCTTTCTTTTTGTTTCAGACTCTAATGGACGCCAGAAAGCTAAATGAATTATTTATGATTACGAAAGAAGTGTAGTAAAACTGTCACGGTTCGAATTAATTTCACAGGAAATAGATATGTATTTTAAATAGAACGCGGTGTGTGTTTTGAAATATATATATATATATATATATATATATATATATGTGTGTGTGTGTGTGTGTGTGTGTGTGTGTGTGTGTAGATATTTTTTTTTTGCTGAAGCATAGGATGAAAAAACAGCGAATTTCATTTAGTAATCGCGCACTAACAGATATTTCTACATGAATTTATAAGCTGCTTATTATAAATGCTGAGAGAATGCCAAAGTTTCTTTTTTTATGATGGAAGAAGCAGCTTGTATTTAGGAATAGAAAATTCGGTCGATTAAGGGAACTTAAACCTCAGATGCTGGCGATAAACAAGACATTCTCCCAGATGTCAACCTGATTTTCATTGATAGGAAATAAACAGGATTTTTTTTCATAACATATGAAATATATATTAATGACAATGTTAGGAAGTGAGCCGCTTCCCGCTTTAAGTATTGATTTTCGTGTGCTACTTCAGCCAAGTGATCTTCGTTTTAGGACACAGAAGAAACAATAAGTTCGATAAGCCTTTATATGCACTAAATGCTAGAACATTTAAAGATCGTATCGCGCCATATCATTACATAAATTCAAACGCTATTCATAAGTCCAGTTACAAAAAAAACATTCCTAACATTAAACAGAAATCAGGAATAAGTATTCCAAAAGATTTACAAACGTTTCGCAGTGTTCTCTCACGATATTCTACTTTTGATAATGTCTCAAAACCTAGACGCGTGGCAACATACAAAACCTGCGTATGATAATCGAACCAATTTTGGAAACCTAAGCAGAAGAAGAAAGAAAGAAAAATGCAAGAATTGCTAAAGAATACAGTATTTACATTAGTCGGACTATTGTCCTCATCTTTGTCGCCATATTTGTCACAACGTTTCGGCCGTTGTACGCTCCGGCCTTCTTCAGGTGGTTGGAATTTCGAACTGAACCCTTTATTTCGATCACTGGGGTAGACTGCTCTAGTTCCACGTGCCATGTTTGATGGATGTCAGTTATCAGATATCTCCTGCTAATTTTCCCTCTGAAAGTTCTCCACTGCCTTAACCAGGTATTGAACACACCTTCTTTGGGTCTGTCACTGGATCTAACCAACGCCTTTATCCACTGTTCCATGTGTCCTTGAGGACATCTGGGTATAAACTTCTGAGTACTATAAACCTAATGTTTTCAGCATCATTTTTTACCAGTGCTCATATTGCAATTTTTGCTGTTATCATTGCATGTCTTTACCAGAGTTCATATTGCAACTTTGTTATCATTGCTTTTCTCTGACACTCCTTATTACTGGTTCCCATATCGTATTTATTTCTATGCTTGGTCGGCTCAGGAGATTTTTGTGGCCTAGCATATGTGCTGATTCCTTAACTTTACGGATTCCTTAAGTTTACTAAAGAAGGCCGGAGCGTACAACGGCCGAAACGTTGTGACAAATATGGCGACAAAGATGAGGACAGTAGTCCGACTAATGTAAATACTGTACATAATACCTCATCTCAGAAATATAGACAGACTTTACTAAAGAATGTTGCAAAGGAAATAAAGAATGGAATCGGCAATTGTAAGATTAAAATAAATATGTGGCTGTTAACAAGAATGTCAGCTTAAAGTCGCAGGTTTAAATTGAAGGCGTAAAAGTCACATAGAAATTTAACTCTTTGAGAAGTGTTATGACAGATTACTTGAACACGTGACCCCTAAATGCGAAGCCATTTAGGGATAACGGAAAATGTCTACCAAAATCTAAACGGTATATGAAGAAACAACAAAACTTTCGTTAGAAATATAGAAAGGATTTCTGAACATCTTTTTGATATCAGACCTCGTGATGGCAGTCAATGCTAGACAATTTCCTCACAGATGAAGAAAAGATTTGAGGCAACAGTTCTATAGACGTATGCTGAGAAGACCACTGACATAACATGTGAGGAACAAGCAGGTTTTGGCGAGAATTAGAACAAAAACGACATTGTCTCGTAGGATCAAAAAGAGGCGATTTTGATGTTTCCGTGAAAATTAATTAGGATCGGTTTGGCGACTTTAACATTAACGGGAAAATTTGAAGGCAAAAGAGGCAGAGGAATCCATTGTGTGGCCAACTGAAAGAGCTTTTGTCAATATACAGAATGTCAGAATATTTTCAAGGAGGAATAGCCATAGTTACAAATGAAAAACTGCAGTGAGGTGTTAATACCGTGTCTAGAAAGGACACGACATATACAAGAACGAAATATAGGTATGATTCTCTTCATAAGAATATCGGCTTGTCTTTGAGAAAAATTGAAGCCAGACGTTCGCCTGATTGGATAACAGGAAATGTAAGATTTATCGCCCCTATATATTACCTGTTCCTTACGGAATCGACGAGGACAATTGAATGTTAGGTATAGATGATTCGATTCAGAAAATGATGGCGAAAGTGGATCGCATCCAAACAATGCTGAAAACCACCAAGTTGATGATACAATTCTTCGGAGAGCTCAAAACCGGCAACCTTCCACGTAGAAGGCCAAAGAAACGATTTCTTAAGCGTGCTCTTGTCTCCAGCAACATTGGCCTAACAAAATTAGAGAACCTCGCAAGGGATCAGATCCGCTGGCGGTCTGTCTGCGTCTCCGGAGTGGTGCACTTCAATGAGGAGAGACGAGGAGCGCTTCAAGTGAGGCGACGCCAGCGTCATCTGCAACCTGCACCGGGTCTGTTTCCCTGCCACCTGTGCCCGAAAAATTTTCCTTCGCGTATATGTCTGCTATCTCATTTGGCAGCACTCAGAAGAATGACGAGAATTGAAGGGCAGTGTCGTCGTCAGCAATGACGGACAACCTAAGAGAGAGAGAGAGCGAGAGAGAGAGAGAGAGAGATGATGATGATGATGATGATAATGAGGCATCCAAAATCTTGTATACATTCTAGTTTGTCTCTCTATTTATCGATTAATCATCATTCTATTTAACGACATTCTAATGGAACATAGACGACACTAGTCGACTGCAATTCATAACAAGTTTACCGTAACAATGGAATATCTTATTAGTAATTTGGAAAGATCAGACTGATCATTTTCTTCTGTTTTCTTTTGGCTGTCTTTGGTAGTTTTTTTTTCTGTTAATGATTTTAAAAGAATAATTATATTTGTTATATGCGACAATAGCGTGCAAAATATATAACCATGGCCATTGTGCAAACCCCTTTAAATTTTACTGCCAAATGTATGTGATTATACAGTACAATGAATAGATTCAAGTTTTATATTGTCCATGCAAAAATATAACCAATACCACTGCCAAACGTTTTTAATTTTTGTATGCCACAAGCGTAGCATTAATGTTAATGCGAAACGTAACCAAGATTAAATCGAAAATATCCAGCATTCACTGTTCAAGAAGCCAGTCCTACTGTTGATTAAATGTTATAAAATATTTCTATTAAAACATTTTTTTTTCGGAAAAACCGCATTTTAAGTAAAATATAAACCCGCTTTCTGATGTTCTGGTGGTTTCCTTCGAGGTCTTTTTTTTTTCGAAGTCATATAGAATGTCAAAATCTTGATAATTTTAGCATTTCTTCTTCCATTTACATTGCTGTCCATTTTAGTTGCTATGGAAAGTCCTCAAGCGATGTGATCTCTGCGATTTGGTAGAGTTATTTGTTTGGGATAATATAGCACCAGCCCCAAGTGTTCGAAGAAAAATGACCATCACTAATATGTACAGGCTTCATTCACTCGAAGCCATTTTAATCATTGGTCTCAGAGGGAAAAATAGAGCTTGCATAAAGCTGACAGTATAAATATTTCTAAACGACATTACCATTCATGATATCTACATAGTCTGAATTGATGTGGCTATTTAAAAAACATGACATGGGATTAAATCCCAGAGTCATAAAAGGTAAAGGCTTTTTTTATGTCGGACTTATTGTTAACCAGGCCTGCGGACTAATAAGCGATTAGCACCCGTGGCCTAATAACAAAAACATATCTTTCTGTGGACAGAATATCAAAGCCGTTGTAAGACAATTATCAGTATATGGGGTGCCTTCTCAGAACGTCGGGTAACACTAGGCTGCTTATGTGTACCAATTTGGGCAGATACTCAGTGCTTTCTCTGACGATCTGACCGGGACTTAGAACTTCGAGTTTATGGTAGATCGTAAGGCCTTCGTCTCTCTCCCTAACTGCCTGGATGTAGACGGCCAGAAGATGCAGATTATAGTCACTGGACAAAAAACCGGCTTTCTAGAAGTGTGGGCAGACTGGTCACCTTTCCTTTTCCTGCCCAGAGATGAATGTCTCTAGAGTTCTGGCTCCTGCCGAACCAAATCCCCCTCTGGATGAGTCTGTTGTTTCCATCTCGCCCGTAATGAGCATGCCAACAGCCTGGACCGGGGTGGTAAAATCCCCGGTCGGATCCGTCTCACGGCCCCCATTCCCCGAAAGGCCTTTGCCCACCGCTAGTGCGGTTGTGGAGGAGGAAAAGGGGAATGGCAGGTTGTTGGTAAGGTTAGAGAGAAGCTCCGCGCAGCGGATCCTCGTCCCACTGAAGCCCCAACGGGTATCAACACAAACAGTCCCTACCAGCTCAAAGCGCGACTCCTCGAAAATCTTCGACAACAAAAGCAAAAATATGAACCATCTTCTGAGAAAACCGAAAAGCAACAGCAATTAAATGGATCTATAAATCAGAAACATCATGTAAAAAATATCTGGACCTAAATCCTCAGCACCGTCTTCCCCTTCAACAAAACAACACATCATGACACTTCCTCCAGTCCTGAGAACCTCATCTCACTCTCATTCTAAAATGACAACCTTAAAAAGGCCCTTATTACGGTTTCACCTTCCAAGGACCATCTTTCCGCATCTACTGTCCCTATTAGACCCAAACCATCCCCTGTTAAAACTCCTGCAGATACAGCTAAAAAGACCGACAATCCCAAAAGGCAAAGAAGTCTTTCACCGGAAACCACAGAGTCTTCTGTAGCCGTCACGCCAAAAACAGAGCAGACGTCTCTATACAGAGCAGTCGTCACTCGTTCAGGGCAGTCGTTTCTCGGCGTCCTGTTGCTCATGACAATCACACTCCTCCCTGATCTGAGAATGACACAAATGGCAGCGCAGTGCGGGTCGTTTTATCCTGCTACAGTGGAGCGGACTCGGATATTTCCTTAGCTGTAATTTCCTCTGTCGTATCGCCGAGTTTATCTCGTTCGAGGAAGCCACTTGAACTTTCCTTTGACGCTGTGTCTTCCTGCACCTGCCCCTCATCCACCATAGAGGTTTGTACATCTGAGTTGCTATCATGGCCGCTGGTAGCCTCCACCACACGCACTGGACGAACATCTTTTACATGACGTCTACAAGCACTGAATGAGGGCCATAGACTTTCGTTACTTTCCCCTTCTCCAACCTTGTATACCGCCCATGCGGTTTCTACACACAACAACATCTCCTGTAGTGATTGGGCTCGCCGCAGACATATCATTTTGTCGGTGCATCAACTTCCTTCGCCTGGCAACGCGATGATCGTGCAGCTTGTTCAATATCTGCAGAACTTTTCTTCTGCATGGCGCGTGCTCGAGCTAGCACTTGCGAAATGTCCATATCGTCAAACTGGGTAGAGGCTTAGAACAATTCCTTGGCATGTTAAACAAACCGGCTTCTATCCATCATACTACTGACCAGAACTGAAAGTTTACACAATACGGTTAAAAAGACATCGATAGTCTCACCCAGGTGCAAGCAGCGTGCTACAAATTGCTTCCAAGCTGTAACGGAATCCAGAGCAAATACTGTATACAAAGCATTTTTTTTGCAGGTAAACTCTTTCTTCTTTCTTCGCTCAGCTGCTGGTACACTTCGTATGCACCACCCGATAGACGCATCGGAACCAGATATTGCATACGCTTATACGTCGCTAAGCTGGCATATCAATTCTGCCTTCTCTATCCACTCGATAACTGACTGTCCAGAATCACTTTCATCAAATAGCGGTATCAGTTTAGAACCAAACGCCATAATTGCCGAAATATTTTGTAGCCGTCACGTCAAAAAGCACCCGCTGGAACAGGGAAATCGTCTCTCGTACAGGGCAGTCGTCTCTCAGCGTCCTTGTCGGCTCCATCAGCCCCCACTGCCAAAGTCTTCAGACACACTAATTGTATAGATCATGAAGCAGCCTATTGGTTGAGCGGGAGAGTTTTACATATGCGTAGGCGTAGTCCGTTAATTTTCATTTAATTGCTCTGCGACACCATACGCATGCGTAGGCATTTTCGGGCATCCTGTCTTTAACACAGGGGAAGACGTGAGCCGGTTTTCCAAACAATTGGAAAGCAAGGCGATACAGTATTCCAGAAAAATAAAAGGTATAAAATCACTAGTTAATTTCAGAAAAATAGAATATCTGGATGTGGAGTAACCTAGAAATTTCCCAAAAACTATTGTTTGAGGTGGTGAAGCTGGTCAACAGATTTGGGCCATATTTGAGGCCTTTGTAGTGTTTCCACCCAAGGCCTGATTCGACAACGAAACTGTAAAAAAATTGCAACAATATTGCTCAGGGAGGTACTCGATTTTTGATCATCCCTCCCTGTATAGAACTTTAAATCTAATTCTTCCCTCTGGACATTAACGACCTGTCTCCCGACGGCACCATCAGTGGTGAGATGAGAACAGGTTCTATGGGCGAGGTCGTCGGTGTCCTTTCCTCGTCCATGTTTTAAAGCAGGAGAGCAACCCTAATCGGTTTCATTATGGCGCTCTGGTTACTAGCATGAATGTCCGAGGCCTGAGGGTGGAGTCTCGCAGGACGTGACTCTCTCGTAACCTTCAGCACCTCGAGGTGAATCATTGTTGTGTACAGGAGACCCGGTTTTCTACTCATGACAAGGACATTCTGTCTAGAGGGTTCTCCCTCTATTCAGCATCGGCATCTGTGCCACATTTTGCATCATTATACTAAGAAATATCGGGAAGTTTCCAGCAGGCAGCTCTGACAGTCGGGCCGAACATCCTTGCTGTAACACTCTTGTTTGTATATATTTGTATTGCTGTTTCTGTTTGTATATTTTAACTCAATTCCTCTCTTTGTATCTTTATTTCTGGCCCTAACAAGGCTACAGCAACTGTTAAGGAGCGAAAACAATAAAAGAAGAAAAATCAAGAAGACTAGATAAGGATTGGCATCTAATTTATTTTTTGCAGATTAAATTTAACTCGGAAGGAAGCAGCTGAGATAGAGTTCCACATGCGAGAATTGCGAGAAAAACTGTTAGCATAGAACTTACCGCTACATCTAGTCAGTTAAACTGTAAAATGATGAGACTTCATAAAGACGAGGTACCATAGAGTGAGGTGAACAATTACCATTAAAGTATTTATCGAAAAAGCAGAGGGAAACTATATTTCCTATGTGAGAAAATGACCGAATCCGAATGCCAGTCCGAGACAAATAAAACAGCAAATTCTTCTTTATATTTTATCAAGAAAATCTAAATATATAACAGGAACACCAATATTCGAAGCGTGGACAAATGGTAGACTTATAAATATATTATTATCGTAACTACATACTACGTTGCCTGCTCGCTATCGCTTTGCAAAGTAACACTTGAATTCTTTGAAACAAAACTTTTAAATGAATATTTTATTCATAAATTGGCATGTTATAGTTGACGAAGGTTTTACAAATCGATGCCAACTTGTTTAAGACCAATTAAAATGCACTATATAAAATTTTTCTGCCTTATATAAAACGATATTCCTAAACAGAACTATTTTTGATATGAAAATCGATTAAAAGAACAGTAATGAAGGACAGTTAATTAATGAATTAAACATTTTAAAAATCAATATGCAAATTAGTTAAACCTGATAGAAGTAGATAATATATAATACTGTTATTAAGATTTTTGTCTCAGAGTTCGTGGTAGATTTGAGCTCCAAATTTGAAATTTCTTCATATAGATTCTATAATTTAGGTTTGAGTTAATTAACTGTTATGTTTCCCTAACTTTTCAAATATTGAATCTATAACTAATTTCTATTTTCCCATCTTTATACTATATTAACTGTCTCCTGTTCTGTCACCCATGAAATAAAAACAATTGTACGGAAAGTAAGGATCTACGTACATCAAATCGTCTTTAAGTTGCAGCAGAAGAATTATCTTTAAACTTTTAAAAAGGTAATCTTAAACATTAATTCAATGCAACTCTCAATTTGAAGTTCTTCTGTAGTATATACCATCTACTATCTCTAGCTATTGTGATGATGGCCAAACCATGAGTCCTGCACGGGAGCTAGCTAAAATGCCCCCGATAAGATGGCTTTTAAGGTAGCTTAAAATTTTAAGCTAACTGCAATTTTGGATACAAAAGGAAAATAGGAGTTGCTCCCCTTGAACCATGAAAGCAACGGTAATGACTAGTATAATATATTAATATATATTTTTAACCTCGCATAATCTGACAACCTTGAATCTGATCTCGACGAAAATCGTTCCCAGCGCCTAACTGTTCTAGGGCTTTTGAATGAACTATGAATCATTGAAATCGGACTAATGGGTGCGGAGGATTTGCTTGGACACACACATACAATGTACTTTATATATAAAATTATAGAGTCCAATATAACATAACTTTAGTATATTACTTAGTCATACTATATAGTCAATAGCAATGTTAAAAGTGCTTAAAATGTTCGTCATTTTTAACGGTACGTGTAAAATTGTATATAGAATATTTAATCAGGAACTGAAGACATTTTACGAATTTTGATAATGTTTAATTTTTGAATATCAGCAAATGCAGTGGAATGTACGCGAACAAGTAAAATATGTGCATTAAATTCGAGTAATCCATGGAATAATTCATGAAATATTTTACTATCAAATTCCAGGATTTACCGAGGAATGCCTGAGAAGGTATCGGCTGACGGCCGTTGCAACATATAAAAGCGGTGAGTATAAAAATCTAAATAATTCCTGGAATTTGGTTAATATTTCCTCTCGGAATTTCAAACCAATCTTCTTTTATTCGCTATGAATATGGTAAGGATTCTAATCTGAATAAAAGAGGCCTGCAAATTCTCTTCCCTTTTCCAATTTTACTGGAATGGTGGATAGAATATTTTGGCTCAATTTGAACTATTTTGTAGTACTGAATCCAAAAACAACGCCCATCTTTCTGTTGAATTCCCTCTCATTCTGAGGTGGTCTCTTGGTCATTGCGCTAATTAATACAATGATTTATGGGCCTCTTAGTGGGGATCTTTTTCTCTTTTTAGGGGTCCAGAGATGAAGAGACATCAACAAAAGGGATTTTAAAATTATGTTTTATTCCTCGATATGTACATTTCTAATTATCCAGAGGTTGTTACTATCCCACCCCACTGGGGTGCAGTTTCCAGACACGAAATTCACACGTCTATATTGTTCGACAAGTAAGAACTAACTCCCTGAAATCCTTTTCTCTATCTATCATTCCCACGCTAGCTTAGCCAATAATAATCGACTTTTGTTTTCCTGTATCTGACCTCAAAGGTCAAAATAAGGAAGACACAGCAGAAATACAATTCTTTAAAAATTAATAGTCTGCTACTATTATTTAAGGTTTCACGATTACCTTCAGGTTTCCTGCTCCAGAAATACCAACATTTATGTGTCATGCGGGATACACGCTTAGGGGTTCATGTACCTTTCTATACATGACTGACGAGGCTGATATTTCCTGCAGTAGGTTTCCATTTCTTTCTACGGTAGACCGGTTGCCAACCAAGGCTATAGAACTCGATCTGCCCTGCTATTTACATATACCTGGGGAGAAGAAGGGTATTACCATGTAAGTGGATGTAATGGATTCGACTGAATTTCGAAACCGGATCTCCAATTACTCAGTCCGAGCCGCTATCTACTACTGAGCCGTGTCTCCTCAAATACCACACCCTCCATAAACAGGTTATGATTGAGTCATTTGTACTTAAATGTGAAGAAGAAATAAATACTCATTTGAAGCTTAAACACAAGTCCTTTGCGTGAATTAAAACACAGCTTCTGAAATACGAAATAAATTTAAATTTAATTTTAATTAAAATTCAAACATTGGGAGTAGCTTGAACTGAGGACAAGGACTTGCGCTTATTTGGTATTCGTGAACGATTAGTAGATTTGTTTCGTTTTATGTTCAAGTAGTAGAAACCGGTGAGACAAGGATGCATCTTCTCCCCAGATTTATTCAACCACTACAGTGACTCTATGCTAAGAGAAGTCTAGACCCTACGAGGATTTAATAGTGGTGGGCGTGATCTTAGCAATATAAAATACTGTTACGGGACCTTACCCATAATAATATAATGGACTATTCCATACGTAAACAATACTGCGCCTCAAGAGGAAGCAGAAATTTCAGTCTGAAGTCTTGAGTGAAGTCCGTCAGTCAGTCAGAGCGAGCGAGTCAGTCAGTCGAGTCAGAGGCAGTCCGAAACAGAGTCGCGTTCAGACAATCACTACTAAACCTGATTGTTCGTACTAACACTTTCTACTTCTCTGTATATATTCCTGTTTGTAATATATCTGTGTTATTCCATATCCGTGTTCGAGTTCTTCTTTATTGGTTCTACCTTGGACTATCACCGTGGTACAAGGAACCGGACCATAACAAATACGCAGATGACACTGTGTGGATGACCGTCTCGGAAATAAAACAACAGAACCTGGTTGACAAGTTGATAGAAAAAAAATGGGAAAAGCGGGTTAAACGGACTAACCATCACCGCAAATGGACAGATGGTATTGTCAGCAGTAAGAGAAGACAAAAACTACGAGTTAAGGATGTGTGATATAAACATCAAGCAAGGGCAAATATCTAGGGACGGTTTAAACAAGTGTTTTCCAAAGAGGGCGATATCGTGAAAAATCTGTTATGTTGAAAGTGGGCACTGGGAGATTTTATTTCATTTAGAGGGGGGCAGTGAACATACTCAGGTGGCGGTGGGCATGTCTCAATTTTTTTCATTTTCAAAAATTATTAAATATTGGCGACAAAAGGAAATTTCTGAAAGTGCTGTGGTATGCTATCAAACTTTGCTTCATTGCAATTTTGACGTCCTATATGGCTAAATGGTGTTTCAACGAAGTTACA